CCCACCACACACACACCTACCACACACACCCACCACACACACCCACCACACACACACCCCACACACACCTACCCCCCACACACACCTACCCCACACACACACACCTACAACACACACACCTACCCCACACACACCTACCCCCCACACACACCTACCCCACACACACACACCTACAACATACACACCTACCCCACACACACCTACCCCACACACACACACCTACCACACACACACACGTACCACACACACACACACCTACCCCACACACAATAGAATATGATAAACAGTAAAACATTGAACCTCACATGCTCGCTTCAATGTATGCATCGTGACTGCAAGAATCTACTATATTTAACAGCACGATGCACCCTAAATTATCCTATTGTTGGTGGAGGGCTTCGCTCTATTCACTCGCCCCCTCCCACCGGAGTCTGTGAAGTTGTGGAGCTACGGTCCCATTTTCCAGATGTGTACAGTGAGGGAAAAAAAAGTATTTGATCCCCTGCTGATTTTGTACGTTTGCTCACTGACAAAGAAATTATCAGTCTATAATTTTAATGGTAGGTTTATTTGAACAGTGAGAGACAGAATAACAAAACAAGCCAGAAAAACGCATGTCAAATATGTTATAAATTGATTTGCATTTTAATGAGGGAAATAAGCATTTGACCCCTCTGCAAAACATGACTTAGTACTTTTTGGCAAAACCCTTGTTGGCAATCACAGAGGTCAGACGTTTCTTGTAGAAGGCCACCAGGTTTGCACACATCTCAGGAGGGATTTTGTCCCACTCCTCTTTGCAGATCTTCTCCAAGTCATTAAGGTTTCGAGGCTGACGTTTGGCAATTCGAACCTTCAGCTCCCTCCACAGATTTTCTATGGGATTTAGGTCTGGAGACTGGCTAGGCCACTCCAGGACCTTAATGTGCTTCTTCTTGAGCCACTCCTTTGTTGCCTTGGCCATGTGTTTTGGGTCATTGTCATGCTAGAATACCCATCCACGACCCATTTTCAATGCCCTGGCTGAGGGAAGGAGGTTCTCACCCAAGATTTTACGGTACATGGCCCCGTCCATCGTCCCTTTGATGTGGTGAAGTTGTCCTGTCGCCTTAGCAGAAAAACACCCCCAAAGCATAATGTTTCCACCTCCATGTTTGACGGTGGGGATGGTGTTCTTGGGGGCATAGGCAGCATTCCTCCTCCTCCAAACACAGCGAGTTGAGTTGATGCCAAAGAGCTCCATTTTGGTCTCATCTGACCACAACACTTTCACCCAGTTGTCCTCTGAATCATTGAGATGTTCATTGGCAAACATCAGACGGGCATGTATATGTGCTTTCTTGAGCAGGGGGACCTTGCGGGCGCTGCAGGATTTCAGCCCTTCACGGAGTAGTGTGTTACCAATTGTTTTCTCGGTGACTATGGTCCCAGCTGCCTTGAGAACACTGACAAGATCCTCCCGTGTAGTTCTGGGCTGATTCCTCACCGTTCTCATGATCATTGCAACTCCACGAGGTGAGATCTTGCATGGAGCCCCAGGCTGAGGGAGATTGACAGTTATTTTGTCTTTCTTCCATTTGCGAATAATCGCACCAACTGTTGTCACCTTCTCACCAAGCTGCTTGGCAGTGGTCTTGTAGCCCATTCCAGCCTTGTGTAGGTCTACAATCTTGTCCCTGACATCCTTGGAGAGCTCTTTGGTCTTGGCCATGGTGGAGAGTTTGGAATCTGATTGATTGATTGCTTCTGTGGACAGGTGCCTTTTATACAGGTAACAAGCTGAGATTAGGAGCACTCCCTTTAAGAGTGTGGTCCTAATCTCAGCTCGTTACCTGTATAAAAGACACCTGGGAGCCAGAAATCTTTCTGATTGAGAGGGGGTCAAATACTTTTTTCCCTCATTAAAATGCAAATAAATTTTTAACATTTTTGACATGCGTTTTTCTGGATTTTGTTGTTGTTATTCTGTCTCTCACTGTTCAAATAAACCTACCATTAAAATTATAGACTGATCATTTCTTCGTCAGTGGGCAAACGTACAAAATCAGCAGGGGATAAAATACTTTTTCCCTCACTGTAGGTGCCACCTACACACCTGTCCGGCTCCCAGCTCACCCGCTCACCCCACTCACCAACTCACCCTACCTCGCCCACTCCTCCGCTCACCCCACTCGGCCTGCATGAGCCAGGGTGACAACTCTGCGGCGTCACCGGCTGGACGCCGCCACGCTGCCGCTTATCTCACCGACAGAGATAATCCTCGGTGACTCCAAGCCACTTGGGGGGCGGGGGGGGATCGGAGATCCCTCGTGCTGGCGAGAGCGGGGGGGCAGAAGAGATTTGCTGCCACGATATCCGTAAATAATATAATTAAAACGTGCCGACACGACGCAGCAGAACGTTTTGTAACCTCAAGCGTAGATGATTATTGTGGAGATAGTGGCGCAATTGGAGACGGGGAAGCTGGCGCCTTAATATGTATGGGGCCGCCCTCCTGCCTCGCTGGGAGAAGCCAACAGCGGGCTGCCGTAACCCGGCACCCAGATTTGCGAGCCTTCCGAGGGTCTGCTTGAAAAACAGCGTGCACTTAACGCGAACAGCACGCAATAAACTACAACACCCGGCATACATAACAAACACGCAGAGGCTGTCCCAACAATAGCTCCGAGGGATAATGACTACAGCTGGCCGCCTCACAGCACAGGTGCTCATGTGCAAATATACTCGATGAGTCACCGGGACACACTGGCTGGGAGACTCATTACACACACAAACATCTGCCCCCTACACTCCCACAAGTACAAGCAGACGAAAGCATCCATATGCACACGCACAAACGTGTGTACACGCACGCACACACACGCAACCAAAGGCTTGCGGGGGCTGCTGTCCCCCGCCTCCTCCGTATCACTCATATTACTACCCCGCCACTGCTCGGTCGGGTTCGGACTACCGACCTCCAATTCCTCGCCCCCCTGTACCCCGACTTTGTTGCTGCCCGTGTAGGCATGTTTCAATTGGTGGGGCCGACGGCTTTGCGTTTACAACACGCTACGCGGGCTCAGTAGCAGGCGTGCTGCGGTGAGCGCGCTCGCGAAGCAAAACCCCGTCCAGTGCGCAAACCAAAGGGTACAGAGCGCCGACGCAAGACTCCGCAGTCACACCGAGCGCCTACGCACGGGACTCGAGGTCGGGGGTCAGAGGTCAGGGAGCGCCCACCGTACGCACGCCACTGATTTCAGGGAGTCACTCCGCCCTGAGTTAAAGGCCGCTTAAACAGCCACGCGTGTACGCGAACACCAGACGCTACACTCTCCTATTTGCTGTAAACAGCCGCGTATGCACGCGAACGCAAAACATTCCACCCTCCTCTTCACACTCACAACGACCACACGACACCGTTTATCCTCTACTGGCAGTTTTATTCCCGCGGATAACCCGCTAAACTACGTGTGTTTATGTGGGTCAGCAGACTCTAGCCTATCCCTCGGGGATCCTGGACTCAATTTATCCTGCCTGTCCCTCCACTTTCTATCCTCTGATTAATTAGCCCACACTCACCTTACTCCCAATCTGATGCGCCGGAAGCTGTAGAAGGCGATGCTGTGCGTTGACTCCATGGAGAATTGGGCCTGGCTGCGTTGAACTTCGTCACACGGACAACTCGAACGCCTGGCTCCAACACCCCGCTGCCCTCGATGTCTTGAAGGACTCTAACATTTACTGCCTGAATCCCCCTCCTTTTATCCTACCTATAACAAAGGCATTCCGCAGTTTTGCCCCCCCCCCCCCCCCCTTGGCCTCCTGTCCAATCAGAGGCCTGGTTTTCCCGCCCTTTTGATATACGGATCCTAGCTCTGGTGACGTCGCCGCAGTGGTCTCCTCGACATCCGCTTTCTGTTCTTCCCGCTACTAGCCTACTGACCCGTGTTGTGTGTGTGTGGTTCCACTCGTGGTGGCTCAACAGCCCCTGCCGTGACCATGCAATTTTAATATCAGGTCACGGCGCCGCGGTGCACGTCAGCCTCGGGGGTAGGTCGTCCAATTTCCCGGCCGCAGGAAACCATGAAGCTTGATCCCATTAGGGGCTTCTGGATGAAAACCTGTCAGCCAGGTGAGTCCCCCCTCGGGCTATGTGGGGTATGCGTGCATTCATGTGGGGGGCGGCGAGGGGCGCACAGCGTCGGCGTCGTCACTCCCCGGTGGCGGCGTCACGGCGGTGGGTACGGCCCCGACGGAGCGGCTCCGCTGTGGCAGCACCACAGGCTCCACACCCGTGTTGTTGTGGACTCAGACCACCTCGTCCACTCTGCGTTGAACGACCGCACCGCAGGTCAAACCACTGCCCTTTCTGCATCTTCCCCCCACACTGTTCCACTGTGGAGTTCCCTCCCACCGTCGCCTTTCTCAAGCCCTTACAACAATATTCCTGCTCTATTCAAAACATGCGTCAACTCGTATCTAGTACAACTTCGAGAGTGCAGTTTGTTGTATGTACGTATGTTGAATTTCTTTCGCACTGTACGTAACCAACCATGCTAATTGGAGGCGTTGCTCGCCACCGGCTTTTTTGGACCTTTGGACCCAGTTTGGCCGTGAGCACTGCGGCCATGTGGCCATCTGGTTACGGAGCCCAGGGAGGGGTCCTCAGTCACAAGGCCGGCTCAAAGACATTTCCTCAGCTGTCACCCTTGACCTCAAACAGAAATGATCCACTATACAAAGAACCGGCGTATTAAACTCTGCTGCTCTGAGGGGCTAACCCTGTAGGTAACCAGCCACGTTGATCAACGAATTTCCCAAAACTCAGCGCTTCAACCCGGCGCTTTAAGGCTACATCTTGCCGACCAAGGCAATTAAGTTGCACATCACGGCCGGCCTTGACCACGGCCTCCACAAAATAGGGCCCTGGCCTCTCCCTCGGCCGCAACCTCAGCCTCGGCCCCACGGCTTCCGACGTTGCACGAGCGCACGCGTTGTCATGGTGGCGTCGGTCTCACCTGCACACCGCGTGCGCGTGACGAGCGGAGGCCCCGGCGCCCCCGTACCGCCCTCCCCGGGCCGCGTGAGCAGCAGCCGGATCTCGTACTCCGTGTCTGGGTCCAGGTGCCACAGCTTGAAGACGGGTGCCGCCACGGGGTACACCTCGGTCCAGTTGCCCTTGGTGGCACGCCACACCACCTCCTTGGCGAGCACGGGGCCCTCGCCACGGATGGAATTCACGTTCAGGTTGATCCACAGCGTTGTGGGTGCCACGCGCACCAGCAGAGGCGGCGCCACGGGGCTAGGCGGCTCTGCCAGGCGAGAGACACGGGGATGGAAATGATGGCGCGATGAATCAGTGTTTAACGCGTGCAATTTCGCAGACGATATACCAGAATTGGTATTAAGCCGTGTCGTGATCTGGACGTAGTTTTGTTGTAAAACCCTCCGCCACCCTTAGCGCGGTGTGAATAATAATCATTCCATTCACTGCTGCGCAGGTTTCCCGCTGCCGTGAAGCTCCCCGATGTGTTGTCGGATTGGACCGTGTACTGTTCGGCACAATGTCCAACGTTTTGCTCCATAGCACTGGAAACTATTCAGGAGCTCTCACACTGAAGACGCTAAACTGAGTTCAGTTCCTAAAGAGATTCCCAGTGAAATCTCGCACATTGTGCCGAAAAAAAGACGCAGTACATCCTGACAACTCAACGTAGAGCTCGGGAGTTTCTCTGTTGCGACATTTCCACTCGCATCGGAGGCAGCGCTCTTCCCTCTCTTCCCTCCATGGCCTGGTGGAAATTATTGTAATTATTGGTATCATCCAGCAGTGGATTGATCATGGCTGATGATGAGTAAACCATTTTAACCTAGCGAGCGAGCTGAGCATTGCCATCGATCTGCCACAGTCAGCCCGCTCTGGCCTTATTAACGCGCTGCTAATGAACAAATCCCAAACCGATTTGTAACTCGTATGTGTGTGTTTTACTGCAGCGACATTAACTCTTTGCATGGCTGGGAAAACCGAGATAATCCAACAATTAAAGTGCGGTGAGATAAGGAGCGTTTCAGAGCCAGTGAGGAGCATGTGGGTTATTTTTTCAGACACAGGGCAGACGCTCAATGCCAAAGGATCACCTTTTCAAAACCTTCCCTGTGAAATATCATATTCACGAGTGAGAAGCACTAAAACATTTTTTTATAGAACATTGTTCCAAAATAACATAACCTTTAATGTGGCAAGTGGTATCAGAACTTATCCTGGGCCTCCCCTAGGTCGAATCGGCGTTATATGAGCACCAGGTGCGGTGTGTCAACATCAGCACCTGGGAGACATGAGCAGCTGTGCGTGGACACACGCACCGTGTGCATTGTCCAGATATGAGCCAAAAGCATTCAAATTACAATGTATTGTAGGAAATGTAATTAGATGCAAAAAGGTCCATTACATGAAGGTGTGAGATTTACATTTCAAACAGGTAAGAGGTAAAGGCGCATCCCTGCAACTGCTTCCTCAGGTTGCAGAGGAAGGTTCCTCCACCGGAGGGAGTTCACCGGAGCCCATCTAGAGGGTAATTTAGCCTACTGTTCCACTCTGGCTAGACGCCTTGGCAGAGGTCCGCACACGCCTTGCCCAGCAATAGCAGGGGCTGCCGATGGTGAGGTGCTGCAAACCCATTGGCTCTGCTGCGTGGACAGAGGCAGTGGGGGCATTGAAGAAACGTGCCCCAACGTTTCCACTGCCATGCCAGGAGGTCGAACAGGCGGCCTATTTATTGATACCCACTTCACTATGGTAGCATCCCTGTCTAATTGATTAACAATGACAAAATTAGATGTTTTACTTGCAAGTAATTTTGACACTCGGATCTGTGTCGGGGTGAGATGTAGAACTTCTGTTGCACCGTACGTAGTCAACTGTGGTTATCGGAGTTGTGCCAAATGATGTCTGACATTTTGCTTCGTGTACCGGGAGCTTTCTAAAGGAGCTTACACCCCACCACACGTGACCCCGTCACGACTCAGGGCCTGCCGCATAGTTCCTTCAGTTCCTCAAAGAATGTACACTCCATACTCTTTGGTTCTATTCGGTAAAGTCACGTAGGTAAAAAATAAAACAACAAAAGATCACGACGTTTCGGCCACAACACAAGTGGCCTTCATCAGGTGAAGGGACCGGACTGTCCAGAGGACAGCGTTGGACAGTTCGTCCCTTCACCTGATGAAGGCCACTTGTGTTGTGGCCGAAACGTCGTGATTTTTTGTTGTTTTATTTTTTACCTACGTGACTTTACCGAATAGAACCAAAGAGTTATTGATCCTTGCAGTCACGAAAACTTCAAATTTAGAAAGGAATGTACACTCCCATCACGTCGAGAAATACTGTGCGCAGTGGATCGTGATGATGGTGCGTAGTGGATCGTGATGATGGTGCGTAGTGGATCGTGATGATGGTGTGTAGTGGATCGTGATGATGGTGCGTAGTGGATCGTGATGATGGTGCATAGTGGATCGTGATGATGGTGCGTAGTGGATCGTGATGATGGTGCGTATTGGATCGTGATGATGGTGCGTAGTGGATCGTGATGATGGTGCATAGTGGATCGTGATGATGGTGCGTAGTGGATCGTGATGATGGTGCATAGTGGATCGTCATCACCGTGACGTCTGCGGCTGCACCTTTGACACGGAAGGGCACGAGGTTGGAGACGCTCGACCCCCCGCGCGTCTTGGCGACGCAGCGGATGCGGTCGTCGGGGTCTCCGCTCGCCGTGCGCAGCGCGAACGTCGCAGTGAAGCGCCGCGAGCGTGCCACACTCACCGGCACCGGCACATCCTCGCCGTGCTGCCTCTGAGAACCGCGGTGGCAGCGGCGGCGGCAGCAATGGCAGTTGACGCGAGAGGCACGAGCGGAAGCACAAGCAGAGGGAGCAATCGAAGCCATGGCAGCAGCAGGAGGAGAGAGGGCAGCAGCGGCAGAGGCCAATGTACAAGCAGCAGGAGCAGCAGTGGAAGAAGCAGTCATAGCAGGAGCAGCAATGACAGAAACAGACAACGATTACAATCACACAAGAGCCACACAAGTGGCAGCAGCAGCACAACAAAACGCGGTGACAACACTTTAATGAATAAAACATTTGGTTATCGGTTGCATCCAATGCATTTTTAATTAGCGACAGATGACTCTGACCGAGGGGGTTTCAAAATAAACAGCACACATGGGCAATGACGATGATGTCTGTTTACGGCAGGGGTCCCCAACTCCCGGGCCGCGGACTGGTACCGGTCCGTGGCCTGTTAGGAACCGGGCCGCACAGCAGGAGGTGAGCGGTGAGTCCGCACGTGGCCCGCCCCAATTATTTTATTATTCACCACTTCCATCCGCGCCTCTTTCCCGCATTGCGCACTTGTCTCAGTCACAGTGTTGGTAAGCCCACAAGCTAACCCCTAGTAGCCACAATGAGTAAGCCCACAAGCTAACCCCTAGTAGCCACAATGAGTAAGCCCACAAGCTAACCCCTAGTAGCCACAATGAGTAAGCCCACAAGCTAACCCCTAGTAGCCACAAGGAGTAAGCCCACAAGCTAACCCCTAGTAGCCACAAGGAGTAAGCCCACAAGCTAACCCCTAGTAGCCACAATGAGTAAGCCCACAAGCTAACCCCTAGTAGCCACAATGAGTAAGCCCACAAGCTAACCCCTAGTAGCCACAATGAGTAAGCCCACAAGCTAACCCCTAGTAGCCACAATGAGTAAGCCCACAAGCTAACCCCTAGTAGCCACAAGGAGTAAGCCCACAAGCTAACCCCTAGTAGCCACAAGGAGTAAGCCCACAAGCTAACCCCTAGTAGCCACAATGAGTAAGCCCACAAGCTAACCCCTAGTAGCCACAATGAGTAAGCCCACAAGCTAACCCCTAGTAGCCACAATGAGTAAGCCCACAAGCTAACCCCTAGTAGCCACAATGAGTAAGCCCACAAGCTAACCCCTAGTAGCCACAATGAGTAAGCCCACAAGCTAACCCCTAGTAGCCACAATGAGTAAGCCCACAAGCTAACCCCTAGTAGCCACAATGAGTAAGCCCACAAGCTAACCCCTAGTAGCCACAAGGAGTAAGCCCACAAGCTAACCCCTAGTAGCCACAAGGAGTAAGCCCACAAGCTGACCCCTTGTAGCCACAAGGAGTAAGCCCACAAGCTAACCCCTAGTAGCCACAGTGAGTAAGCCCACAAGCTAACCCCTAGTAGCCACAATGAGTAAGCCCACAAGCTAACCCCTAGTAGTCACAATGAGTAAGCCCACAAGCTGACCCCTTGTAGCCACAAGGAGTAAGCCCACAAGCTAACCCCTAGTAGCCACAGTGAGTAAGCCCACAAGCTAACCCCTAGTAGCCACAGTGAGTAAGCCCACAAGCTAACCCCTAGTAGCCACAATGAGTAAGCCCACAAGCTAACCCCTAGTAGCCACAATTAGTAAGCCCACAAGCTAACCCCTAGTAGCCACAAGGAGTAAGCCCACAAGCTAACCCCTAGTAGCCACATGGAGTAAGCCCACAAGCTAACCTCTAGTAGCCACAAGGAGTAAGCCAACAAGCTAACCCCTAGTAGCCACAATGAGTAAGCCCACAAGCTCTAACCCCTAGTAGCCACAATGACTAAGCTCACAAGCTAACCCCTAGCAGCCACAGTGAGTAAGCCCACAAGCTAACCCCTAGTAGCCACAATTAGTAAGCCCACAAGCTCTAACCCCTAGTAGCCACAATGACTAAGCCCACAAGCTAACCCCTAGTAGCCACAGTGAGTAAGCCGACAAGCTAACCCCTAGTAGCCACAATGAGTAAGCCCACAAGCTCTAACCCCTAGTAGCCAAAATAAGTAGAAAACAAACGTCGCTGGAGAGCTTATTTGAAAAGGTGGAAAGACCTAATGATGAACCTCCCCGCCTCGGTCCGTGAAAAAATTGTCTTCCACTAAACCGGTTCCTGGTGCCAAAAAGTTTGGGGACCGCTGGTTTACGGTGTAAACGGCTGGCCATGATGGAGATGCTGTAAGTTTAGCAAAATGTCTTTTGTTCAAAACAAACGAAAAGCGTTCACAAGACCCGGCTGAACGCTGGTATTCAAATAACTCCACGCTCAATTAAAGCTGATCATCACATTTTGACCACGTCTCCCGCTGACATGCCGCGCAGGGGCGCCCTACAGCGACGAGGACGTGTGCTACGGCGCAACGATCCGTCGATTAAAATCGAATCCCACGCTTGGTATGCTCGCGCGTGACAATACATTATTCATGACTTGTGCAATTTAGATGCCCATACTTTGTTTGTGTTAATGGAGTTAAAATAACTGTACAAATAAACAATAAATAATGAGCAGTAATGCATCATCGATTGCCTAAAGAGAGTTTGTTTTATGCAGTCATTGGTGACTGGGCTGATGATTCTGGCCAATCACAGGCAGCTGAGACCTGGAGTTGAACCTAGGGCTTAGTGGTGCCGGCTCAGTGCTGCGACGCTGAGTCACCCGGCCACTTCCCCCATGTATTCCTTTCTTCTACAAACGAGTGGAGCAACAGCTGTAACAGCAACGTCATCAAGTATGGTGAGCTAACAATGACCACAACAACAGTGGAAACATTGGCATCAACAACTCCGGAGAAAGCCATTACAAACGCACAGCGATGGCGCAATGAACATCAACATGAAACATTTGGCGTGAGCTGCAGCGCTGGGTCAATGTCTCTCTCTCAAAGAGGCGGCAACAACACGGTCAGTGCCATGGGTTTCGACCGTGTTTACGTTTTAAATCTGTTTACATTCCTCTTCGATAAAACATCAAGTTCCGACTCACGGAAAGGAGGAGGAGCAGGACACTTTCTGTGGAATGCCACAAGCAGGATATGGTCTGCAGGGGCCCAAAACGTCTATCGTGCCTCGCTCGCTGTGGCAAAAACCACAGCCACAACAAGATGTATGGACAAAAGGGCGGGTAAACGAGAAACCGAATCCACCATTTAGGGTTCAATGATGAGAGTGGCGTAGGCGGACAGATGAGGGGGTGGTGGGGGGGAGTTTGAATACTCCACATCCGCATTCGCTATTCGGGGCAAGGGACAGGGGGTAACTTCTACTGCACGGGGAAGAGCTACAGTGAGGGAAAAAAGTATTTGATCCCCTGCTGATTTTGTACGTTTGCCCACTGACAAAGAAATGATCAGTCTATAATTTTAATGGTAGGTTTATTTGAAAAGTGAGAGACAGAATAACAACAACAAAATCCAGAAAAACTCATGTAAAAAATGTTATAAATTGATTTGCATTTTAATGAGGGAAATAAGTATTTGACCCCCTCTCAATCAGAAAGATTTCTGGCTCCCAGGTGTCTTTTATACAGGTAACGAGCTGAGATTAGGAGTACACGCTTAAAGGGAGTGCTCCCAATCTCAGCTTGTTGCCTCTATAAAAGACACCTGTCCACAGAAGCAATCAATCAATCAGATTCCAAACTCTCCACCATGGCCCAGACCAAAGAGCTTTCCAAGGATGTCAGGGACAAGATTGTAGACCTACACAAGGCTGGAATAGGCTACAAGACAATTGCCAAGCAGCTTGGTGAGAAGGTGACAACAGTTGGTGCGATTATTCGCAAATGGAAGAAACACAAAAGAACTGTCAATCTCTCTCAGCCTGGGGCTCCATGCAAGATCTCACCTCGTGGAGTTGCAATGATCATGAGAACGGTGAGGAATCAGCCCAGAACTACACGGGAGGATCTTGTCAATGATCTCAAGGCAGCTGGGACCATAGTCACCAATAAACCAAATTGGTAACACACTACGCCGTGAAGGGCTGACATCCTGCAGCGCCCGCAACGTCCCCCTGCTCAAGAAAGCACATATACATGCCCGTCTGAAGTTTGCCAATGAACATCTGAATGATTCAGAGGACAACTGGGTGAAAGTGTTGTGGTCAGATGAGACCAAAATGGAGCTCTTTGGCATCAACTCAACTCGCCGTGTTTGGAGGCGGAGGAAGAATGCTGCCTATGACCCTAGGAACACCATCCCCACCGTCAAACATGGAGGTGGATACATCATGCTTTGGGGGTGTTTTTCTGCTAAGGGGACAGGAAAACTTCACCGCAACAAAGGGATGATGGACGGGGCCATGTACCGTCAAATCTTGGGTGAGAATCTCCTTCCCTCAGCCAGGGCATTGAAAATGGGTCGTGGATGGGTATTCCAGCATGACAATGACCCAAAACACACGGCCAAGGCAACAAAGGAGTGGCTCAAGAAGAAGCACATTAAGGTCCTGGAGTGGCCTAGCCAGTCTCCAGATCTTAATCCCATAGAAAATCTGTGGAGGGAGCTGAAGGTTCGAGTTGCCAAACGTCAGCCCCGATACCTTAATGACTTGGAGAAGATCTGCAAAGAGGAGAGGGACAAAATCCCTCTTGAGATGTGTGCAAACCTGGTGACCAACTACAAGAAAAGTCTGACCTCTGTGATTGCCAACAAGGGTTTTTCCACCAAGTACTAAGTCATGTTTTGCAGAGGGGTCAAATACTTATTTCCCTCATTAAAATGCAAATACATTTATAACATTTTTGACATGCGTTTTTCTGGATTTTTTTGTTGCTATTCTGTCTCTCACTGTTCAAATAAACCTACCATTAAAATTATAGACTGATCATTTCTTTGTCAGTGGGCAAACGTACAAAATCAGCAGGGGATCAAATACTTTGTTCCCTCACTGTACATGACCACAGCTGGGCGCTCGGCGTGCGTCATCCTCACATGGGTTGCTAGGTTGTAAAAATCATCAAAACCTTGACATTCGAAACAGAAGA